TGACAGCCTGGCTTTCTCTCTTAAGAAAGGCAGACAGGGACCTGCTGGAAAATTGGATTATTAAAATGTAAGCTGTTTGCATGTATGCTCCTGTGAAACCTTACTACTGCCTATACCCTTTTTTGTGTGGCGCCCAGGCTGTTTATATTGGCTAGTTTGCTAGTACCAACCTTCTACATATTGTAGAGCACAAAACACTTGCATATATGTATTTCATGTATTTTATTCAGGATGTAGTTTCTAGACATGTGCGATTCGTTCCGAAACGAAATTTGGACGAATTTTCGGAAATTCGGATGAATCCGAATTCCGAATTACAGATATAACGAATGCAAACGAATCCAAATTTCCGTTTCCAAAATTAATTAGCGGTAGTTCGTTCTAACATTCGTTTCGTTTTCGTTTCTTATTCGTTCGTTGCAACAAAGTGACATTAGAGAAGGAGAAAAACATTTTCTTGCCCTCAAATGTCACTTTGCTGCAGTGAACGAATGAACAAAACGAATAAGAAACAAAAACAAATGGTCGAACGAGTTACCGCTAACGAATTTTGTCCGAATCCGAATTTCCGAATCCGAATTGACTTTCACACCCGAATCCCGAAAAATGGAATAACACAAAATCCGAATCAAAATGAAATGAAACGAAAATTTTTTTTTGCCAGTGTACATGTCTAATAGTTTATTTTCTATACCTACCTTTTTGTGACATAGGGCTTAGTGTTTTGGGGATGGGGCCTGTGTGTAAAGTGTAGAAAATATATGTTTGCAAGCATCTAAAAGAAATATGTGCGTGACAGCAAGTCTTTAAACAAAGAAATTAAAAAACATTCAAGAAAAAAAATCCACTTTGCTGCAGCAGTAAAGATTTTAGCTCTTTGGCTACCACCTCTGTTGGCAATGTTAAGTATAAGCTAGCTACACTGGTAAGTACAAAAAAATGGTAGTATTCTCTCTTGGAAAAAGCATTGATAGTGTGGGCAAGTAGTAGAAAGAATAGAACTGCAGTTAAAAATGTCAACTGTACAACAAGTGTCAGCTTTCCCGCAAGTAAATGGAAAGGTAGATGGGCAATGCATGATATGTTCCTCCTTTACATCTCACGCTCAGAGATACCTGGGATAATAGTAGTGTTCTTTCATGAAATTAGATTTGGGGTGTTAGCTGCTTTGAAAGGGGTGCAAACCAAAAAAAGGAGAAGCACTGCTGTAAGAATGCCCATACTTATAAGTGGTTGTTTCAGTCCCAGCTCCTCAGCTGCATGTGTCTGGTGTGAACAATAATCTGAATAATATGAAAATCCACTTGAAGTAGAATGTTAAGCCAAAACTTTTTTTTAGTTTTGGATAGAATAAGAGAAGGTTATAAACCCTATGAGCTTTTTGCCATCTGTGTCCATTTGGGGAGATTTCCCTTCACTTCAAGTCTGATAGTCACAACAGGAAGTGGTCACCAGAACTAATGTCCCCATTGGAAGATTTCCCATTCATTCCTGTTCTGGTGACAACTCATAATTTGGGGAATTCTTTAACTTTCACTTTTAGTGATAAAAGTCACCAGGACAAATAGAGAGGGTGAATCCTCATAGAGACAGACAGACAGCAATAAAAACCTGACAGGTGTTCCTTCTCCACTCTATTTAAAACCTTAAAGTTTTGGCTTCAGTTATACTTTTAACATGTGCTATGCGAAGCAATTTAAAAATTATCCACTGAAACCTATATTTTTTTGCTTGCAATTACTTATTGATAACAGTTAAATAATCTGATTTGTCTGCACACATGCACTCATTGTTTCTTAACTCTTGGCAATGTAATTACCCTTTCAGAAAGCTGATTTCTCGGTACATCCATACAAACAATTCCCATAATAAACTAATAATGTCAAATGTCTGATTTATTCTGATGCACTAATAAGTGAAGTATGTACAAAACAGAAGTCAAAAGCAAACGAGTGGAAAAAGCTTGAGACAATGGCCACATAAGTGCTCAACTTATGAAACATCTTGAGGGTTTATACGTAAAACTACTGTACACATAATTAGGGTTCAGGATGGTAGCTAGTTATGGAAGAACAAATGTAGGTTTTACTAACAATGTCCAAGTAGGCAAATTATAAAGTCTGTCACATCTTAACTTCAACATACACTGAACCGAAGTGAAGCACTAAAATGGCACAGTTGTTGTACAACATCAAAAGGTTTCTTTCACCACCCAGTCACATGTGAATTTTGAGCTAGTTGATATGAGATGATTTTCAGCAGACCTGATGCAGAGTTTATTGGGCCATAAAAGTGGTTGTTTGTTGCCAGCATTGGAGAATGTAGCTCAGTAGCACACACAAAAACTACAGTGCAGACATAGAGTGCAGCTACAATGAGCATGATAAGCTGTGCAATGTGTGGTTACAGATTTCTGTATGGTGCATGTCAGAAGCTTTGTTCACAGGAGAAAAGTTATGTAGTTAGGGTTGCCTTAGTTACCTTGTTGCTGGTCCCTATACTTTAAAGTAAATCACAACTCCTGAACAGTCTTTAATGTTCCATTGATATGACATAGAAGACATATCCAGACACCTGCACTTTAATTTGGCTTGTCTTTTGAGCACCTCAGGAGCTCATCCTTGGCTGTTCTGATTTGCAACTCTCAACTACCTACAGTGTTCAAGAGTCTGGCCCTTCCCTTCTCATCTAACTGCACCTCCTTAATGGCTAGTAAGGCTGTCTGTACAATAGTGGGCTAATCATGTAGACCAGACTGTCAACCACAGAAACTGGTTAAAATTTCCTAAAAGAGTAAAGGTGTCAGTTTGTAGTTTTAACATCTCATAAATAGCATTGCTAGTATGTATTTATGAGGCCTAGTTATTACAGATGACAACATAACTGGGTTTCCAACTACTTTTATATAACTTGAGTTGCGTAAAAGTCAGATCACTGCGAAACAGCCTGTGTATACGATCTATATTCTTTAAGCAAGTGACTATAAAATGGGTTTGAATTTTTTCATCTGATAAATTATTGGTTTCCACATTTTAGCATTTTTGTGGCTGTGCGCCATATAGTTTTGGATAGAGTACAGAAGGATTAAAACCCTTCTGGATTTTTACTGCTAGCTGAGGCTCTGTTAGAGCAATTTGCCTTCACTTACTGTCAGTCACATTGACAATGAGTTCACCACACAGGAAATGAGGGAAAATCTGAAATAGAGATACTGACAACAATAAAATGTTGCCAGGGGTTCTACCCTTCCCTACTAAACAAATAAAGAAGCATTATTATTATTATTGTGGTCTGTGTTGCTTTTTCATATTCCCCTCCAGCATAGTGAAACAGAAAAGGGGTTTCAAAACTAAAGAAAAAGGTTTTGTCTAGACATACACTTTAGACAGGTATTACAGCTAATATGAACAGCTATAGAAGGGTATTTTTTTATGTGCTCAGGATAAATGATTGTTTATTTATTTAATACAAGTATTTATATAGCGCTGACAATTTACGCAGCACTTTACATAGTTGCACATTCACATCAGTCCCTACCCTCAAGGATCTTACAATCTAAGGTACCTATCTCACATGCATACATAGAGGGCCAACTTAGAGAGGAGCCAATTAACCTACCAGCATGTCTTGTTCAAGCATTATTGTGATATTTACTGGAATATGTTTTAAAGTAACAAAAGACAATATTGCTGACAATTATTGAAGTAAACAATATTACTGGACCCAGGCAAGCTTATTAGATACAAATGTTGTTCCTATGGCACAAGGTATCAGCCCTTGCAGTCTGCAAATCAAAGACTTTTCATAATATATGTTCTACATATTTTTAGTGTATATTTTAAGGGTTAGTCTACCAAATACTAATATTTTGTCTATAGTAGTATGCTGATATTTTTCATATATTTTGGGCATTACAGTTAGATCTATTCTCAAAATGTCATGACTCCCACACCCTAGCTGTGCTACCTCACTGCTCTTGATGCAACAAGTGTCTCAGTCTGACTATGGCAATATCAATGACGTAACATTAATGAAAAACTGAAAAAGTAAAATTGTCACAAAAAGTTAAAGGACATTATTAGTGGGTCTCAAATGTTTATTGCTTTTTTAGTACAGCAGTGTGCTACATGTAAGTGTAGTTGCACACCACACCCAATCAGCTTTCAGTTTAAAGAAGTCAGATCAGTTAATGTTTATGTATGGTTAAAACATATATTTTTCAGTTTGGACAGAATGGGGAAGGGTAAAAACCTTTGTCAAGTTTTTACTGTTCTTTGCATCCTCACTGGGTAGATTCACCCTCTGTTTCTTCAGGTGACTATTGTTACAGAGACAGAAAAGTAATGGGTTATCAATATGTCACCAGAACAAAAGAGAGAACAAAATATTCCAATGTAGACTCCTGTTCAGCGGACAAATGCCTAAAAGGAGAGTTTCCTTCACTTTGGAAAGATTTCCTCTTACTTCCTGTTGCATCTCCATAATGTAGTGAAATCCTCTCAAAACACAGAAAGCAAAGACTGAACTGCAGGAGTTTTGAATCTCCACCTCTCTATCCAACACTGGAAAAGTTGGGCTATACATACACTTTAAGTGGGGATTTCTTTTTGTGTGAAACAGTTTTTTCACATAGTCACTACCTTTTGCTCTGGTTTATTCAATGTCTAGATGTGCCTATGTTTTGTTAAAAATGTTATACTCTCTGTACATACACAGTCATACCTAATGTAAGTAATCCACTGAAAAATAAAACTGACATGATTTATAGTGTAAAACAAAACAGTTTTTATCAAAAGTGTCTTTCTCCAGATGTAGAATTGACATTATTTGAGCCAGACGGAACTCCGTGTTTGTATGCTCCCTTTAATATTATTGTGCTCTGGAGGCCAGACTTTGATCATACAAAGAGCAATTTCTCATTATTTTCTATTGACACTCCAAACAGTCTTCTCTGAAGTCTCTGGAATATTGTGTGACCTCTGTCTCAATACTTTTCACAGATTTCACAGGCTGTCACCACCACTCAGACATCACTAACACAGACAACTGTAATGGAAACTGTAACTATGGTGACCACCAGGGAGCAAATTCTTGTTAAGCATGGTAAGGACGAACTCCCGCCGCCTCCACCTCAGAAGAAAAGACAGATCCTTGTGGAATCAGAACTTAGGAAGAGGTGAGAAAATGGCTATTGCACACCTGAGGAAATTAATACACAATGCTATTGCTGAAACAAATTTCTGCTGTGTGAAAGAAAATTGTGAGAGACACACACCTGCAGCCTAGTGTACTGTGGGAATAATGACGGTAGTAGGTGTAAGTATTTTTTACCTATGGGCAAGGATATGCAGGCATAATAATTAACTGCAGAAAAGAGCATTGTGGAAAATGCAGTAACTCAATACAATTCATATTTCATTGGAATGACAACTGTTACAGGAAATCTGGTTCATATAGGCTACTGCACATCATCATTGCTGGTTGCCCTGATTTACTAAAAATAAGCTGAAAAGTTGGTAGAAATCAGCATTGCTAAACAATTACTAAACCCTTTAATGAAGATCTGTGAAACATTTTCAATACTTTCCAACAAAAAAAGAGTATATAGAAGGATGCATACATTAAAGAAAAGCATTGCTATAGTTCTGACTATCCCATTACTATAATTTCAGAAGCCTAACTTTCTTATTGTCACTGCTACATGCATATGTGCATATAATGTGATTGTCTTTTTTATATAATTCTTTTCCAAATTGGTGAATGTATTGGTGGGATTTTATAATGTGTACCTGAAGGCATAAGGACTATCATAGGACTGTAGAGTAAGGAGAAAAGGGGTTGCTTATGGATTCTGCTTATGGATTCTGGATTTTAGTGACAAAGTGAAAAAACTATGGAATGAAATAGAGAAGAAATGGTGATGAGGGCTGCTGGGAAAAGATTAGCGAAATTGTGAAGTGACAATGAGAGGAAGGAGTATTGAGAGATTCTAGAGAATGAACAATAAGATTGTTAGATGACATAGAAAAAAGGGGTGGTGAAACAAACTGGATAAGGAGCAATTAGACCATGGAGTGGCATGGACAATAAGAGGTGTTCAGGTAGAAGGAATTATATGATTTTGGTATAAATATTGGGAAAAAACAGCTGAGTGATGATTGAGAAGGAACAATAGGAATATGAAGTACCATGGAAACAGGGACCCAGAAGAAAGAGTGATGAGGGATGATTGATGAGGGGCACTGAGACTGTGGTGTAACATGGAGAATAAGGGGTGATGACGGATGCTGGAAAAGGTGCAACAAGATTGTGGAATAACCTAGAGAAGTGCTCTAAAGTAAGTTGGAGAAGGAGCAAAGAGACTGTGGTAATAAACTGATAAGAAGAGGTGTTAAGGATGCTGGAAAAGGAGCACTGACACTGTGCAGTAACATGTACAATTAGCAATTATGAGGAATGATAATTATGATATATATACCGCAATGCTGTACAGAGAACAACACTGAGCCAGTCACATCAGTCTCTGTACAGAGGAGCTTACACTCTAATGCCCCCCCCACAGTCACATCAGTCTCTATACAGAGGAGCTTACACTCTAATGTCCCCTCCCCCTCAGTCACATCAATCTCTGTACAGAGGAGCTTACACTCTAATCACTCTAATGTCCCCCACAGTCACATCAGTCTCTGTACAGAGGAGCTTACACTCTAATGTACCCTCCCCCACAGCCACATCAGTCTCTGTACAGAGGAGCTTACACTCTAATGGCCCCTCCCCTACAGTCACATCAGTCTCTGTACAGATGAGCTTACACTCTAATGTCCCCTCCCCCTCAGTCACATCAATCTCTGTACAGAGGAGCTTACACTCTAATGTCCCCCACAGTCACATCAGTCTCTATACAGAGGAGCTTACACTCTAATGTCCCCTCCCCCTCAGTCACATCAATCTCTGTACAGAGGAGCTTACACTCTAATCACTCTAATGTCCCCCACAGTCACATCAGTCTCTGTACAGAGGAGCTTACACTCTAATGTACCCTCCCCCACAGCCACATCAGTCTCTGTACAGAGGAGCTTACACTCTAATG